ACATTGGCAGGGGTGTTTCTTCTGCCGAGCACGCGTCGCAGCCGCTTCTAAGGCCCAACAACTAGCCATGGAGGCCGAATGTGTCCGCCCGGAGCATTTTATGCTCAGCAATGCTCCTTGTGCCAGATGTATCGACAAGGAGGTTTTATGTAGGTTCCAGAAGAGTTTGCAGGTTCATCATTTGGAGTTGCTGTAATCCTATCCCAAGTCCTTCCTATTCTACGAATAATTAAATAATAATAATAATGACACAAAAAAAAACCACAGAAAACACAAAAATACATATAATAAGATATAAAAATATGTATACAACAAAACACAAAAATATATTTAACGAAACAATACAAATATGTAGTCGCAGTAGCGCTCGGAGAGCGCTTGTCCCTTGCTTTATCAGCAAAGGACTCCGAGGGGTAGGCATGTCACGTTGATACAAAGAATAAGTACGTGATGAATTATGATAAGTAAATAACGGGTTATGGTAACAAACCAGGTATCGGTAATTTAATTTCCTATTATATCAACCCTCCCGGGAACATTCGTAAATCTATTTAGCGGGATAGATTAGTCTAAGCACGTCTCCATAATATTTCCGCGAATATTACTCACCGCACATTAATTCGGCGAAAACACAGGAAGGGGCACATCAGCCTATGGTATAAAAAGGCTGGATCGGGATCCGCAAAACACAGTACAGTTCAGCAGTTTGGCAGTTCAGAGCAATTCAGTTCGCACAGCATACGTTTCACGCAGTACTAATTGAGTTATTTTTTAAGTCTAACTATCCGGCTACTCAGAACCGGAATTATACTCTGCTAAGCATTATAAAAATTGTCTTTAAACAATAAATCTTAAATCAAGCACAAACACCTGAGACTGTTCGTAAAAACCTCTTCTGAAATCCAATCCTAATAAGATAAGAAACTAAGTTATCTACTTAAACGCGCTACATATAATAAAGGCGCTATCCCTTTAACCAACCTCTGCTTAACTCCTGACTAAGATCCAACTTTTACCAACGCGACAGTATTTGTATACATTATTACGTCTAGCAGTAACATCTCCTCACCTAGACATAACAGTATAAATACAATGAACTAAACGTAGATAGGAATGGAACATTTCACCTGATAAAATTCCGTGTAAACGGAGTACACTTACGAATAAAAGCCATATTTTCCATTCCAGAGCTTTGTATTTCTGAACAAAATCTAACGACCGTAAATTACGCTGTAAAACACGAGTCAACTTCATGTTTGCCATTCTTTTTTTTACTTTTTGAAGATCTACTGACGACAAAATTGCTTTCCAAACGTTAAACAATTGTTTTGTTACCCCCAGTAATGTTTGATGCATATAGTCGGGTGGCAGGTTCCAAGCAATATCGAAATTTGGAAAGTCTAGAAGAATTGAGTAACCCTTCACACCAAACTCTGTCGGTCGACTAGATGATATCAAGTTTGATACGTGATTCATGTGTTTTTCGTGGGTTCTCAATTCTGGATTATCTTTTTGTATTGGAAATTTCATCGCATTTCTGTAATAACATCCATGATGATAACACCAACTACAGCCAAAGTAGCCATTAAACTGAATTCTATTCTGTATCAAAGGCTTCGCAACTGTATCAACACAAGCACAAAATGGAACCAGTTTCAAAGTAAAAATTTCTTTTGTCCAGTAATCAGTAAGTTGTATGCCCTGCTCAACTAGTATATCGCATTGTTTCTTTAATACAGACAAAAATAAATTCATAAATTTTGGAGTAGGTTCTCTTTCAGTTTGATATAATCCCACTAGAACAGGATTTTTGAAACGAGTTTCGCCTAAAAAACAGTTAAGATGAATCTGCATTGGCCATAAAGCTTTCTTAGAACTTTTCCACTGTTGAGCTCCATCAAGACTTAAGTTAAAAGAAATAGTATTTGGTCTATTACAATTTTTTTTATAAAGTTCTGAAGCAGTTATATCATTAATAACATTATCTTTGGACATGCATGTTTTTTTAGTAAAATCAAACATGATTGTTGAATATTTTGTTTATTAAGTAGCATTTGTAGTTGATATTTGATATCAAAGTATATAAAATAATTTTCACTTATACTGGTAATTGTATATGTTTTGTTACAGTTACAGCATTCTGTGGAAACAGTTTTTGTCTTTGAAACTGGAAGTTCTATCAAAGTTTGGCAACACTCTTCACAAAAGTAAAGTTTTTTCGTATTATCTTATTAAATTTATCGAGCTTATATGGAGAAAAATTCCATGTATTAAATTAAGGTCCAGCCAAATATTTGAGCCGCTTATTTTGAAAGTGGCCTAACTCCATTCATCTTCAAATCGAGATATTGAAAGTTTTGCGTTAGAAAGAATTTAAAAATATACGTTCAATTAATTCGGAATACTTATGTGTAAAAAATGTATCGTATTTTCTCTGAATATAAGCAATCTGAAGTGCGTCACTGATAAATAACATGAAGTTGTACATGTAATCATTGTAAGCGGCAGAAAATTGAAAAACGGAGTTAGGTTACTTTCAAAATAAACGGCTCATTTAATAAAATCTATTAAATCAATTGTCTGCTCCCGTGACATACCATATTTGATTGTAATTCCTTTTAGCATAAGTACGACATCAGAAACCGTTAAATTACTCGCAGAAAACATAAGCCTTTTGTCTTTGTTGAATGATTCTTCGTCTGCTGTAAAAAGCTCATTATCATCTGAGATATGCTGATCGCAATTAGAATCGAATTCTGATTCATTTTCAGAAGAACTCTCATCTACTTCTTCGTATGAAATATTATCATCACTACAATTTTGACAACTTTCGTTATTTTTTTCAGAATTTTGCATTCCTACAAGTAAATCATTGACACCTTCCATTTCGCAAGTTGTTTTTTCTTTAAACATAGTCTGAATTGTATTAACTGAATTTTCTGTTAATACATTTCGTTGAGTAAGAACAGAGTTATCCACATCTATATTATTTATTTCAGTAGACATTGAACTGGTATTAGGTTCTATGTCTGACATTCTATCTGCAAATATATGCGACCAATAAGATTCTTTTTTTTTTTTCATATAAAATATTTCTTTGCTTCAGAAACGAATAAAAATTGTAATGCTAAAAAAATATTGTTACAAATAATTTCGTAATGCAGCTACATATATCTCTATGAAAATTCATAAAATTTTAGAGTAATAATAAGCGATACAAATGCTTTACCTTCGAAAACATTATAAAATGATGAAATAAGCTATACGCTTAGTAAGCATCTCCGGCGCGAAACACAAGCGCTCCCTGATGGAAAAATATTTCAATAGTTGTGTATACAGCACACGCTTCCCATATGCCAGACTGTATAGAACTAACGTATTTTAAACTATTTTTTTAATATTTTGTCAAATAAAAAGGAAGAGATAATGGTAGTCATATTGAAAACGGGTTTCCAAAAAGTAGAAACTAGTGTTTTTAGGAAAAAAAGTATTTCTAAGGGAAATAAACTTGCAGAAAGTAATCATGTATCCGATGTATTTGAAGAACTGAGAGATGACGGGTCTCGTACTCTAAAAGGAACCGTGTTGCGAGAAACACCAGGTGTAAAAAGCACCAAAACTGATACAAATTTTTATAAAGTTTCAATTTCGGTAACACGTGATGCATTTTCTTTACAGTAAAGTACGGTTGATTTATATCAATTTGGTAAATACGTAAATTATTTAAATTTGCAGCTTAAAGAAAATAGAACAATTATTAGTGCAGCATGCAATTGCAAGGGAGGTTTGCTTTTATGCAAACATGCTGCTGCCGTTTGTGCAGTTGTAAATAAAGAAAAAGCTCTTTCAAAAACGAGCGCTCCTATGTTATGGAATATGCCAGTAGTACCTGAAAGTCAATTAGAGAAGTATAGCAAAGGATGCACTTTGAAATCATTATTTGGCGAACCGGGCGCTGTATATCCAAAGTTTGAGTTTTCTAGAGAAATGCCAGATATTGCGAATGAGCATTTAAAAATAGAATTTCCATTTACAGAGATGATTTTAGCTGAAAAAAAACATGAGTCAGAAAGGCTTGAACGTGAAAAAAAAAACGAAAGAAACACAAGCGAAATTACTGAATCTTCTTGAAAAACTTTATTGCTTGCAAGTAGAAAACGAAAAAGAAAATTATTATGCATATACTGTTAAGCAATCTAATCAAGACTCTTTAAAGTTGACGTTTGCAAAGATGAGTTGTTTGCCTATATGCAATGCTGAATTTGACTTAATAAAAATTGACAAGAATAAATGGACAGAAATTTGTTTACAATCAGCAGGGCAATCAGAATCAGCAACTTGGTACAGAGAAAGATATTTTCGAATAACGTGTAGCAGCAAAGCTCATAGTATAAAAACTAGGCAGGATAACTTTGAAACTTTGGATGAGAGATTTCTCAAAGAAAAATACAAAGGAAGAGTCACGCCAGATATGTTGTATGGTCTCAAGATGGAGCATTCTGCCAGATTATGCTTTGAAAATTTGACAAGTGTGAAAGTTTTTGAAATTGGCTTAGTTATTTCAATAGCACAGCCATATTTGGCTTGTAGCCCAGATGGTATAATCACCAATAAAGTGGATGGTACTCTAGAACTTATAGAGATAAAATGCCCAAGTACTTGTAAGGATTCTTTGATTGTTGATCTAGACAAGAAAATTAGTTTCGTACCATATTTAAGATTTGATGAAGGAGGCGAACTGACACTGAATCCTGTGCATTGTTATTATACTCAAATTCAAGTATCGCTATATATATTAAAGATGAACTTATGTCATCTTTTTGTCGACTCACCGAAAGACTATGTTCACTTGTTAATTAAACGTGATGAAATTTTTTTAGCAGATGTCATTCCAAAAATAGAAAAATTTTTTTATGAATATTTTATTGTAGGCATTCATAAAAAACAAAATATCAATTGAAATGATTAAAAACAATACATATTCATCACGCATATTATAGTTATTTATTTTTTTTAATTAATGGCTCTTTATGATTAGCCAGTGCACAAATAACGTACATGATCTCATCTATTGTTTCAAACAATTCAGTGTTGAGATGTTGCAGTATCTTGAAAATTTTTACTCGCTGTATCGCCCTCTCAATATGTATTCTTACTGAGGCGATTGAATATTGTTCTAAGACTTCTTCTTTAGTGAATTGAGGATTAAATGCAAAGGGTGGAATTACTACTGTGCAATTACGTTGTAGAGCCTCTGCTTTTATCTGCGGAAAACCTTTATCTGCTAAAATTTGATCACCTGGCTCAATGTAATTTAGAAAACCAGAATCGTTGACTATGAATGAGTCAGTGGAACGTCCAGCGTACGATCGTGATAAGAAGGTTATCATCCCAGATGGACTTATGCCCAACAAAAATTTTGCTGTATAACCACCTTTATATTGAGAAAACATGTGTATTCTTTCGTCGACCCTTGAAGGTGTATCAGTATAAACTTCAGTGCAATCAATTATCACTCTGCAATCGGGATAGTTGACAAAGGTATCTGGCATAGTCTGTTTTACAGCTTCCTTAGATGGCCAAAATATCCATTTTTTTACATTTTTATAGACAGTCTCCAGTACGCTAAAAAATATATTTGAAACTGTTTGTCTGCTCACTCCAAAAAGTAATCCGATTGCAGAAAAGCTTATTCCTAGTTTTAATTTCATCAGAAATAATAACAAACGATCTTCTGTAGATAGTGTTTTAAAGAACTGTGGTTGCCCATCCTTTTCAGGTATTATAAACTTTAACAGATGATTAAAGAAGTCGAATTTTATTCCAGTCAAAATTTTTAAATCTTGCTCACTTGTGATACCAGCAAATCCTGTGAAATAATCCCTCATCTCTAAATCTGATCCACAAGCTACACTTTTGTAGTTTTTATTCAATTTACTTATCTCTTCTTGTATTTCCTGATCTTCTACAACTACCTTCTCTTTGATTGTGTGGTAGCTAGTCAACTGTATATCTGTTTGTGTACTTTTATCGTTACCATCAGAAGAACAAAATAAGTGAATGATATTAATATTTTGTGGAATATCCAAAGTTATGTCAGTTTGTATACAAATGTCAGAAGTTTCTACCAAGGTCGATGAATCATTTTGGGTTAGATTGAATGTTGAATCATCTGCAATTATAAAAAATAATTTTTTATCTTGTTTGTATGTACATGAATTATAATATAATGGAATATGTACATGAACCGTAAAATGAATTTAATTACCATAATTGGAATTTTGAAATGTAATGATTTCACATTCTTCTCTTGATTTTTTTTCGTTTCGTTTCTGCAATCTTTCAGCTCTCGCATGATCATACTTATTTTTTGAACGATATTTTTCAGGAAAAATTGTAGGAATTGTAACGGGGGGAAATCTTGCAAAAATGGGAAATTTATATAAGAGCAAACTCCCACGATGCAGAGCAAACCGCCGCTCCGTTAACACGTATGTTAGTACGTGTATTCGCCTTAACGTCAGTTGATTTAACTTGGTTGTCTTCGATCAAGTAGAGTTGAAATCACCTTAAGTCACGTGCCTTGTGACACACGATGAGTTTGAAGTGTGAGCGACTTTACTCCTTCTCCGCTTAATCCCCTAGACGTAATAGGATTAACACCTAAGCCTATTTCAATTTCTTAAACTATTAGGAAAATCGTATGACGAAATCGGCGAATAAGTTTAACAAAGTTTATTCATAAAAAATCTATACAGTCTTTGTCGGGCCGAAAGACTGACGCACGCGAATAGGATTTACAATTAAATAATTTTCCGTGAGAAAAAGAGAGAGAGAGAGAGAAGATATGAAAATTGGCGCGATCTAACGTTCGGCGCAAATATAAAATCAACAACGCTAACGCGGCTGAGCAAAATAATAAATATATTTTGACACGCGATAATAAAGGGAGGTGCACCTACCCTGCGGTGCAATTACGGTGATCAGCCGTAATTGTTGATGTCAGCAAAATATCAACTGCCTCCGGTCCTAGGTTATCAGCTGTGCTGCCTCGTACCACCTATCAGCTGCAAATCTGCTGCTACCAAAACGCTGCAATCTGTAGGTCTCGTTGTTGCACTCACGCGCGTAATTATTATGGACCAGTAATTATTAGTCGGCGAGAAAAAAACAGTGCAAATAACTTCGGCGATATCTACTTGTCACAACAGCTGAGACGTAACTGCTAATTTGAAAGATCGCGCGCTCCCTCTCTCTCTGAATTCTTAGAACTAACGCGCGAAAATCAGAATCGCGAACGGTTCGATTAATTGAATCGACTACCGTTGCAGAATGTAACTGACTTTTCTAGGATCATCTGACTTACAGCCTCCGTCAAAATGCGCACTGCATATTCGAGAATTGGCTGTCGGTTGCCACAGTTTATTTCCTTCGCTGTAAGCATTAAGTTACAAATTGAACATTTGATTTAATCCAACATTATGTATCAGCAAGCCGTCATTAACATAACTTTTCAATTTTAATATTCGAAACACAAATAGCAAATGGATTTATCAAACATTACTTACCTTAAACGCCTTACGGCAGCTATCCATTTTTGTTTCCTCTCAACTTCATAATTACGTCCAGGAAAAGAATAGAAACTCAATTCTGGATTTTTTTTTTCCGAATTGCTACATCCAACTACACAACATATTCTCATTGACCGATTATTATCAACAAAACTATTTTTACTTTGTAACTCCATTTTGGCTTTCTGTATTTACAACACGCTGAGTCAGCTGTGCAATCTTCCTATACCCAACTTTTGACAGACACGGCCGCGAGGAGGCGCTGTCGGAGGTGCTTACTAAGCGTATAACAGTTTATTTTACAAATTTTGCTTTTGATCTCGAACCTTGGGCCTTTATGTTCAGGTCACAGAAAATGGTTAATAAATTCGCTTTATTCAACGCGACTTAAGGATTTGAAAATCTGAGTGCATAATATAACTTATTGTTTTATTAATAAAATTATGATATAAAAAAAGTTTGTCATTAATAGAAACTATAACAATGTTTTTCAAGTTTAAATATTTTTTTTATTTAGTTAAGAGACTACAAAAATGTTATGAGTATACAAAATATAATTTTAGGGCATTTATCTTTATAAAGAAAAGTACACAAAATACATATTTTGATTTTATGTATTTTAATAATCAAACATAATCATTCTTCGTTTTCTACAGAAGGAAATAATTTTAAATGATCCATTATTAAATGTATGGTTTGTTTTAGCGCAAACTCAATTTTTATTACAGCGTTCTTAACGCACTTAAACAAACTAAATATTGTCTTTAAATTGTTTTCCAAATCGGTTTGTTTTGTAAGCAAAGTATCCATCATTCGAAGAATTTCGTTAATTTGATGACAATGGTCTGTAAAAAGGAATGAGCTAATGTAACAATTGTTTAAAGAGGGTGTATCGAAGTTCAATCGTTTAAAAATGAATGATACATTTATTAACAAGGAAAATGATATAACTTATTATAGGTCAATAGTATATTGTAAAATGAGGGAGAACAATGGTTTTTTCGGAGCCTTTTTTAAATAAGGAAATGAATAGGCTACTTTTCGTTAAAGAAATAATGGGTTTGGCATTGCAGGTCATTTCGAGTCATTAACTACACATAAAAATAAAAAAATTTGCTTTTCATTTTGAAAATGTTGAAAGTTTTATGAAGTCCTCAAAGGGATTTATTAAAAAAATGTACTTTTTTTCTGATTAATACATCGCTAATCTAGATTGCATGTAAGTTTACAATATATTTTAGTATTTTTCGTAATGTTATAATAAACAAAAATCAATTTAAAACGGTAGACTTCGAATGATTTATCGGTGTAGGCTTTTACGTAAATTTGTAAAAAGTGAATTCAGTTAACAAAATATGAGAAATTATAGCCAGGGACAGTATCAGGGATCAGAAACGCGATATGGACCATTCTATTTGGGCAAAATCGCGTAAAATATTAAGTATAAAATGCTTCCGTGACCTATATTAAATTATAAATTTTCCTACAAATAAATGTACTATTTTTATATCGTTCAACTTAAGCACGTCTCCTCAATCATAGAATTATTTAAAAATACATTGCTAAAATTACAGGGCCGGTTATTGCAATTGAATAAAGGTTGAATATTAAAAAAATTATTGCAAAAGATATAAGTACAAAAGATACTATTTTTTAACAATGACATTAGGAAGTAGAAAAACTTTTAAAACACAAATGTAAAATTGAGAAATTACGAAAGGAATGTTTAAGAAATATAAAGATTATAGTTTGCTTTTAATTTAGAATTAAAATTGAATAATTTGTAAAAATTTGGCACAAATCAGTGTGGAGTTTCGATAGTTTACCTCGAGAAAAAAAGGGCCCTGAGCTCCGAGTGTGCAGCTAATTTCAGTGCGTACACCAAAGAGCTCTTTCCTATTCCGCTCGTTCCACCATCCCAGTCATTAAGATTATATACTCATGTCAAATGCAAGCTTTTGCATTTTAATTTTTGTTAAGTAAAAAATAAAATACAACAGAATGGACTAAATTTAAATATTTAAATGTATTTTGCATGTATAATGATAGAATCAATAAGAAAAATACTATAGCACTTTTTCAATTCGAAATCTTACATTTGTTTTCACATAGTAATATTAAAATTCTAATTTATCATTATTATAACTATAAAATGTAATGTTTTGATTGCAATTAAAACTAAAAAAGTAGTTTTAAGCTATAATATAACAATATAATTTTTACTTTAATATATTTCAGACTACAAAAAATATATACGAATTGAAAATAACATTACTAAAGGAAATATTAATATTAGGAATAAGAAGTAATATATATATAAATCAATGGTTTATTTAATAATAACAAAAGTATTATCTTTTAAATGTAGATACATCTTAACATGAGAAAAACGTCGATATTAAATCAATATAACAAAATTGTTGATACAATTAGTGCTTCAATAACATCAATTAATTTATATAATATATTATTATATATTATATATAGTATATTATTATATATTATATATAATATATTATTATATATTATATATAATATATTATTATATATTATATATAATATATTATGTAACGGGGGGATAAACCTGCAAAATGAGAAATTTATTTAAAAGCAAACTCCCACGATGCAGAGCAAACCGCCGCTCCGTTAACACTTATGTTAATACGTGTATTCGCCTTAACGTCAGCTGACTTAACCTAGTTGTCTTCGATCAAGCAGAGTTGAACTCACCTTAAGTCACGTGCCTTGTGACACACGATAAGTTTTAAGTGTAATCGACTTTGCTCCTAATCCACCTAATCCCCTAGCTATGATCGGATTAAAACCTAAGCCTTTTTCAATTGTTTAAACTACTAGGAAAAATCATATGACGAAATCGGCGAATAAATTTAATAGATTTTATTAATAAAAATTACTACAGTCTTTGTCGGGCCGAAAGACTGACGCACGCGAATAGGATTTACAATTAAATAACTTTCGGTGAGAAAGAGAGAGAGAGAGAAGATACGAATATTGGCGCGATCTAACGCTCGGCGCGAATACAAAAAATCAACGCTAACACAGTTGGACAAAATATCAAATATATTATGTCGCGCGATAATTAAGGGAGGTGCACCTACCCTGCGGTGCAATTACGGTGATCAGCCGTAATTGTTGAAGCAAATTAAAGGTGCTCCTCCGATCCAAATCAGCTGTGCTGCCTCGATCGCAAATCCGCTGTTTAATAGCTGTCACTTATGCTGCTGCTTTTGTGATGCTGCTACTGTTGCTGCTTCCTCGCTCACCCTTGCACACGTATCCAAAATCCAAATAAACTATTTATTGGCAAATCGGTGAAACAATGTGCAAAACTATTTTGGCGGTACTACACACGTAACAGCTGAGATGTAACTGCTAATTTAAAAGATCGCGCGCCCTCTCTCTCTCTCAATACTTAGAACTAACGCGCGAAAATCAGAATCGCGAGCGGTTCGATTAATTAAATCGACTACCGTTGCAATTATTATATATTGAATATAATATATTATTATATATTGAATATAATATATTATTATATTTCAAAGTAATGCTTTACATTTACGTTTATTTATCGCAATGATTTTTCGATGTTTCATTAATAAAAAAAATTAATTTTACAAGACAGATCTGTTATACTTTTTGTTTTAATTTGCTATCGTGATGTGCATTCATGAAAAAACTAGAGGTTTTAAATGAAAATTTCTTAAAAGCAAATGTGCATAGTTACGAAAAATTAATAAAAATAATAACAACAATAAATTAACTTGGACTAGTCAATGAAATAAATTTGTTTACTAATATAAAGCTACGTTTTATTATTTAAATTATATAACTATTGAATAACAACTCGATTAGATAAGTACCTATAGTTTCATATTATTTATATTTTTTATATAACAAAATAGATAGTAACATTATAAATAAATTGCGGAAAAAAATTATGAATCTTAAACTTTTAATTTAAATTTAATATGTATATTTAAACCATAAATTACTCTGAATGTCTGTTGAAACAAAACGAACGTTTTTCGGTAAATTCATGAAACCAAGTTGATTAACGATACGTTGTATTGCGAATTCGGCGATGTTCAAATAAAAACTACAATAAATATTTTATGAGGATTAGTGAGTAAAAAATTGAAATTTATTCTATTAGTTTAAATATGATATTTACCGCTCAATTTAATAACTTTCAGCTGCTTGTCTTGAATTTGATACAATAATTCAACTTATTGTACTTGAAGAAGCTCCACTAAAGTAGTGTTCTTATAACCAGTGACTGATTATAACATTCTCGCTCCAATGTAATTTTCATGAAAAATACAATTAGTGTTAATTATAAAAAATGTACGTAATATTTGTAGTTAATAGTAATGTAAATACTATACAAAATGAGTTGTTCATAATTTTTAATAAATAAAAATATACATGAACAACTTGGTCAAAAATTCCTATGAAAGAATATTGCTAAATGTAAAATATATATTGTAGTTATATGATTAGTTAATCGAAATTACCTGACAATTCCTAGAATCCATTACTTAGACCATGCCGTTCACTGCAACATCTTGGTGTTGAACGTAAATATTGATATATCGTTGTTGGCCAAATATCACCTGAAAATTATTCAGTAACAAAAATATCGTTAGCGACATTCATTTTTCTACAACATTTTATCAAATCAAATAAAGAGTCCTGTTTATAATAAACTAACTGGATATTATCATTTTAATAGATTCAATAATGTCAGTTAATACAATTTACATTTATACGATTAATATAATTATATTCTTTTACAACATAAAGGTATAGTAATTTTCCTTTTAAAATTCATTTTCTTATGTCAATTGTAATTGATTAAATTAAATTTAGGCAATATTGAAAGAAGTATTTTTATATTATATGAGTGATTTCATTTTAGTTGAAACTAACTTTACTCCGTAATTAAATTCGACATAAACACTCATGAGATCTATCATATTCGTTTAATTTTTTGGTGGCTTTGCAATTATACAATTCATTATATCTTCTACTACGTGATTATTGCAGACAACAATAATACGCTCAATTATTCGATTTGTCCAATGAATATAATTATGTGAAAATTCTAAAATAAAATTCATTATAATTGTTCATTTTTTAATCAAACAATATATTA